AATCTCGTTTACTTCTTTGAATCTGTCTACTTCTTTCTTATTAAAAACAGTTTTTATAGTATACATTATGGACGAGGGTCCTTGTCGACCATGCTTGCAAGCATGTCAAGGTTTCAACCGTCGTTCTATTTTATTCATTTTCCGTGGCATACAGGAACAAGGTCGATCCTGCCTTGCGTCTTGCGGGAATAGAAGCGGGGTCGGGACTTACGGGACGGGTGTGTAAGGCCCCGATGTTGTTATTCCGGGCCGCTCGTCGTGGGGACCATTCTTGCCATTCGCAACGCGACCTCAAACGACGCGACTCACCTCGTGCGAACACCTTATAGACCCATAAAAGGGGCGCATATGGGGAATTGAGAAGCCGCGGAACAATTCAGTGTCTTTAGCGCTTTGTACACTTGTCTCTGTTTCTCGACGTTGAAATATATGACATATACCCTAATTGATGGAAAAAAATGGAGCTCTCCCTTCGGTAATATTCCACTCGAATTTTATTGGTAGAACTAGTGTACTAGTATAATGTTTGAATTGTGAGTTCAAAGATTATTTTGTTCATTTTTTTTTAAAGTTTTTTTCTATTTATTGAACTATGCGTTTATAATAAATATTGATACATATCTATTTATAAAAAAAGGATTATATTGAAAATTAAATTAAATTAAATTTCGTAAAAGCAATTGCAAAAAATTATAAAAAGAATATGGCTTCTGTGAAATATAATAAATATTTCACAGAAGCCACTTTTTTATGTTTCTATTATAATCTAAAATAAGTGTAAATTGAAATAATATTAAACGTGTACGCGATTTCTTTATTAAAATTATTATTTTATTATTATTTATTCGTAAAATGTTAATAAATCGTGATCTTCTCTTGAAATATTTGAACAACATAAATCTTTGAGATTATCCATTTGCATATATCTTGCACTTGTTCTCTTTCCTCTTACCGAGGCGAAAATACAAAAAATATTCGTCTTTTATAGCGGTCGTTTACTCGCGCGGCATATCGAAGATCAGATGAAGCGATAATATTCACAGGTGGACCACATACAGTGGTTCCCCTTTCTATATTTATATCGTATATACAACACACGCACAGTGGGCCCTTAAGATTTATTGCGCACTCGTAATTACGACGACGGACCCCTGGGCTTCGCTTAATAGAGTTCCATGGGCATTCTAATCGAATCTATCGTAGTCACGGCGAGGACCTCGCCAAAGGGAAGGATTTTGTATGCAGGTGGCGTATGTGTGATCGAATTAGATAGATCTTTATCTGCTATAACCATTCTACGGGTATTGGCCTGTCGCAGTGATAAAAGAATAATTTATAGATATTAGAAAGGTTGTCGGTTTTTTTATCTAAGAGAGAGAGAGAGAGATAAAGAAATTTTTCCTATTTTCACAATATTTATTTTTTCAATTCAAAAATATTACAAGATTATATTTTTTAGAAAAATACAAGTTCATCTAAAATATTTTAAGAAGAGAAATATGTATATTTAATAATAGTCTTTTTTGGATATAAATAAAATTTTTTCAAATAATTTCTTAGTCTTTGTCGAAGTAATTTATAGTTTCAGCGAGAACGGAAATCCTTTTCAATAAAAAGGTTATACTTTTATGAAAATTTACAGTCCTTTTCTAGTCAACTTCGTAATTCATAATGTTACCGTCTTTATATCCCTCTCATGGAATAACAAACGGCATCCACACATATACGCGCGAAGTCTCCCATTCAAACGTACGAGCAGTAGAACACTAGGTATACAATTTAATGTGTGCTGTAATATATCGTATAGTTGCAAGAGCCGGAAACAGACGGAAACAATGTCTTATCGCAGGTGCAGGCTGACTGTCATACTCCGTTCATTTCGAATGACGTACTAGTGTCTAATTATGCAGACGAATACCTTTCGTCGCTGTTACTTGTACTCGTTCATCCGAGAGGAACTCGTCATTTGATGGAACAATCCGAAGGTTTTAGGTATTCCGCATGTCATTTTGCCCAGCATGACTCGCCACTTACGAAAGAGACTATATTAAAACCTCCGGAAATTCGTGAGAAAATAATTTTGCTTTACTAAGAAGATCCTTTTTTAATTTAACAATAAAAATCAAAATTTTTTTCTTACAATTAAAATTTACGTTGTTTCGTAAATCTAATAAAAAATAATGTTTTGCTCAACGAGAAGATGTGATTTACGATCAGTTCTGCGTGTTGAATTAAAAAAATATATTTGTGACGGAATCTTTTTTCAGGGAAATATGAAAATGTAAATTTTATAATATTTGTATTCTCTCTTGGCCGTATATTTCAGTAAATAATTGAAATAAATGTACTTCAAATTTATAATATTAATTAACGCATTGAGTTAGATGTCGAAATTTCTAAGCTCTAATCCGTATTCTTCTGTACGAAAGATACGACCTAAAACGGCACGTGCGAAGCTTCTCCCGAATAAATACGTTGAGGAAATTCTCCTCATAGATGCCTGATAACAATCATCTTCGCCACGTATCGACATCGGGGTTCCACCTAGCGCTGGGCCGAACGATACCAGATGGGACCCACACTGCGCGTTTCACCACCATATGGGCAGGTGCCGAGACCGTTTTTACGTGCGCGTAGGCCGGTAGTAATGGTGGTGGTACTGTCGCGACAGACAGGGCATTCGTATACACGTGTAGATACACGCGAGAGGCACGCACACGCGAGCGCGCACGCGAAAAAGTGCAGGGACAGGAGAGCGAACGCGCGCGCAGCATGGCAACAGCCTGTATGCAAATGAATGCATTTTTATACCTAGCTAGTACAATGCGCCGCACCCCCCCTCGGCGAACCGTTAAAAGTGAAAACCTGCTGCCGCGCTGCTACTGCTAGTGCTGCTGCCACCCCGCTTTTTACGCGCTGCCCCAAACGCGATTTTGACCGCGCGACTTTTCAGGAAGTTTCCTTCAGGGTCAAGATCAAGACCGGGATCGGGAATGATACAATACGTATATCCGCATCGCATTTTCTTTCGATATTAAATGGAGACTCGATCTAAAATCTATTTAAAATTAAAGAGAATTGATATTAGATAATCGAAAATATTCATAGTTAAAATATATAATTTACTTTGTAATCTACTAGAGATGTAGAAGAATAATTTTATGCACGACATAATGATATGTAAATTATAAAATGATAAAAATATAGAATTTTAAAATTAATATTCTTTAATATAATACCTTGTAATATTATTCTTTAATATAAGACTACTTTTTAATATTAAAAGTCGACAATTGATATCTCATACACATTTTTGCACAGCGATGATATTACGAAAAAAATTTACATAAGAAATGGAAAAAGATTGTAACGCTTCTGAGATATTCTGTATGTATGTACACTCGCTCACTAAAAGGTTGCGACACTTTTTTTTTATAGGTTTCTAATTTATATTTAATATACGTAATATATACTTTATAGATAACTAATATTTTGCAAATGCAAACCACGATGTACTATCTTTAGTCTAGAGACAGTATAACACCAATCGTGGTCCGCATTTGCAAAATATTAGTGCGTTTTCAAACCTATAAAAAAGAAAGTGTCGCAACCTTTTAGTGAGCGAGTGTACATCAGGCTGAACAAAAGAAATTAACAATATATAAAATACATTCAAATTAAACAAAAAATTAAGCTTTCAATATTTCTTTTTCTACAAATCTAATGAAACTTTTTTTTTTAACGGAGATCAATTGGCATAATTCAAAAATAATCGATCGTAATATTTTTGCCGACTCGAGATTAAATGAATCTAAAGACTCACGATAATATTGGCTCTCTCCAATCTCGAATAAACTAAGTTACGCGAATATCATGTTCAAAAGAAGAACCTCGATTCAATCCGGCGACCGTGGTGAACTCGCGCTCATGCGAGCTAATCGAATCAGCAATTTCGCGAGTCAGCGGTTGCATGCGCAGCGGCAACAACCACGGAGCCGAAACGAAACAATAATTCGGCCCGTACGCTCGATCACACGTCCTTTTTTTTCGTCAACCGTCGTGCCCGCGCGCTCGATTCTTCTCGCCCACGAAATTACGCTCCAGGGAGCGAAAGAGAGAAAGGGCGCATCGGGTACACTCGGTTTTAGGGGCCGTTTAAAGGATCGTTAAGCACGGTGCCTAGGCAAGTGCTAACTCGTGAAACCGTCTCTCAGGTGTATACGACGTCTTTCACCTGTTTCGCTATTTCCCGTATGTCGCGACAGGTGCACAGGTCGCTATCTCTCCTTCTTTCTCTCGATTTCGTCGCGAGGTTTCCTGTCGCGTTTCGTGTATCGTGTCGCACACACGCATTTCTCCCTTGTACGTAATTAAGGCGCAAGCGATCACCTCGCTTTCGGCCGGAAGGCCGATAGGCGGACCTGACGAGAGATGTCGACCTTATCGAGAACCTTTAGCGAAACCCAACGACTTTCCCCATTCATGTGTATTCCCGTGCGTTCTATACGTACGCCGTACGCGTGCGTTCTGGATTAATGACAGGCCCTCCAGAATGCCCGGCCCGGCCCTCGCACTTCCTCTGCGCGAAGGAAATAGTTAGATTGGATGTGAAGGACTCTTTAATGAAATGTTATTACCGGCGAACACGCCGGGGGAAAGTGATGTGTTGAGGTGAAAATAATCGTTTCGTGCGGGCTTTGTGGTTTCCGGAGCACACTTGACATGTATTAGAATTAAAAGAATGATAATTTACATGCATAAAAAGAATAACCTAGAAAATTAATTATGCTTGACGCTGAGAACGCTTTCTGTTTTAGTAAGAAATTCAACGAATTTATTTAAAATATAAGTTACAAAATTTTGTGAGACAGGATATCAATTATTATGTTGATTTGGGTATTTCTTGAGAAACTATCACCAATTAACAACCTTTCCAATTATTTTAAAAATTGTCCGTTATCATTCCTCTCTCTCTTTCTCTGCTCGTTTAGCATCTAGAGATGCTGAAGTGGACGGTTTCAAGATCGTTGTCGACAACCAGTTCGACACCCCACGGTCCGCCCACTTTGAACAAGCCTCCCCGCCGGCCTTTCCGAGACCTGTCTAACACACCGCCGACTTCTGCTAGCTGCCGAACCAGGCAGGTATCTACTCAGAATGTGTCGAACACATCCAGAACAACGCCGGCTCGTAGGAGAAGGTGTAGGAGTAGCGGAACTGACTTGAGGACGTACTTTCAGGTAACAGTAAGTTCAATATTCCTTTTCTCTTATAATAATACGGTATAATAATATAACATATGCTAACATATATATAACGCTTGAAGAAATACGATAGCTCTGGATATCAAAATGGTAAAAGAATCTATAAAAGAGTGACATTTCTGATTCTTCTTCGACTAAAATAGCGTTTCTTAAATCCCTTTTAAAGTCAAGAAGCAAACAATAAATATCTATCTAACGTAGTGTTGCTTTGAAAAAAAAAAACGTATTCTTCAATGTGTTTTGCAGGCGACGAAGCCACATCTGAGATCAAATAAACGCCAATCTATGTCACAAGCAACGGAGAATTCCCCGGTGTCTGAGAGCTTCTATCAAAGCACACCGAGAGTAGACACCGACATCGGACCGCTCACGTATTATCCACCCGGTAGCAAGTGCTCCACCGCCCTGACCCTACCGACGGATCCCGCGCTCTTCATGAACAGTCGCGCCAAGAGCTTTCAGAGCGACAACGAGCTGCCGCAAAATGTTGTCAACGAGGCGCGAGCGAATCTGCAGTCGCATGTCTCCGACTTCTTCCAGCAGATCTCGATGGCGACCAGCCCGGAAAACGTGATGGAGGCGGGCTCGATGCCACTCGGTACGAAGACCAAAGTCTATTCCCAAAACGTCGAGCAGAAGACGCGGGTCGTGCGAACGCCGTATTTACCAAAGCTAGCGAAGATCACGAAGATCCATGCGCGATGCCGGACGCCGTATCACACCAAACTTGTTCAAGCAATCAGCCCCTTCAAGTCGAAGACATCGCAGGGACAGACGCCGCTCGTCGGAAAGCTCTCGAGTCTCACCATAGATCAGGACTTGCCGAAGTACGAGAACATGGACAACACGGTTACGGAGGTGCTTCACAGGTAAGATGATTATAATTAAAGAGATAATTGAATTGATAATATATAATAAACAGAGACAAATAAATATGATTTTTTGATTCTTCATTACGTCTTTCTTTTTCATAATTTTCCCTAGAGTGAATTAATCTTGTATAAAAAACAATTGCGATGTTAAAAATTTGAGAAATTGCGTTAATGAGAAAATAAATTCATTATATGTGTGACACAAATCCTAACTAAATCTAAACTAAAAACCAATTATTCGATGCGCAGAGAGCAAGAAGTCAACTTCGGAAGTAAGACCGTAGCGGAAATTCTCCTGGGCGACGCCGAGGAGAGGAACAAGATTCTGGAGGCGTCCTGCGAAAAACGGCCGGAATCGAAGATGACAGATCATACGTATGAGACTATCGCGGAGGTAGTAGAGGAAGAATCGCCGGCGCGCAACGACAGCTCCATATCGTCGGTCAGTCAACTCCTGGAGGATCCTTCACCGGTGTCCTGGGCTTTCACGTCGCCGCTGAACGACCTCGACGGCGAGTTCACGCTGAAGAGGCAACGTGGCATTCGCCGGAAGCGTCCGCGAAAGGACGGCGACAAAGTGGTGGACGGTAAACGAGCCAAGAGGACGTGTAGCCCTTCGATAAAGGAGAATCAGGTCACGCTAGTCGAAGCCATCAATCCGAATGTGAAGAAGCTCGCGTTAGAGACGGATCTCGATTCGACCTTGGACGAGAAGCACGTGCCGGCCATGAAGCTGTCCTTCTACGGTACTGAAGATCGTAAGGAGGACGACATTAGCAGGAAGACCAGTTCCTGGGACCTTGACAGCCCTAAGTCGTCCATGATGGATGATCTGCATAGCTCGAAATCATTCGTCACTTCTGTGTCGACAACTCCAGAGGTACCCCTGGTCGCGACTGTCAGAAGATGTTTGAAGTTCAGTCCCGAGGGCGAGCTGCCGATGAGATCCAATTGTCGCGGATCGATCGAAATCGAGTGCTCCCTCGTGGCGGAGCATATACACGTTCGAGGTAAGTTTACATTTATTTCATATATATATATTAATTACGGTTAATAGAGACGAGAAGAATACGAATGTATTCTTTACCAAGTTTTTTAAAAGAAGTAAATCAAACTTTAAAAACACTATATTTAAATATAATATTGTAAATTTATCTGTTAATATTGAATAAAGGGGCATAAAATATAGTAATACTAAATTGAGATTAAAATATTTTTAACGAACAATGAAAAGATAAAGCTAATAATTTTGCACAATGTTTATCTAAAAAGAAGTGAGAAGATTTTGCTGTAATGAAAATTGCTGTAATTTTTGGCTTATTAAACATTATTTCGTATCCCTCTAAAACTAAAAATATGTTTTTCTAAGAGAAATATTCGTTACCCTCCGTCTAGCCGTGGGGTAGCTTGCTACCCCTACACACCCCTGAAATTTCGCTGCTACGAGACATGCGCCAGTTGCGTGTCGCGAGAGGAGGTGCTTCGAGGGCGCTCGGCACCTCGCACTCGGCATAATACTGTGCCAGTAACCCACAGACCCTCCCGGCGACTCAATTCCGGTTAGTAAACCCATCGACATTGATCACCGTTGCGTTGTCTTTGCGTAAACAGTCGCGATCCCAGTCCTATCTCGTTCTCGACAGCAACTTCCGTTCTGTTGATTCGCTCTGCCGACCGTTCTTTCCGCGTTTTAGAGCGAGATGCGTCGCATTCGGTCGATGCGCCGCTTGCTGACGCGTCTCGCGATCGTCTCGTAGAATCGGTCTTAATCGTCCTCGATTACTCGTGACACCGCGGCTCCCTCGTCATCTTTCGTCTCATCCAGAAATCTCCGTTTAATTTTTGTATACGAGGGTGAGTCAACGAGGGAGACGAAACAGTGCACAACGTCGACACAATTTACCCCGGGAAATCACGCTCGTATTACTTATGCTGCGCCACTTTTCGAAGTAAACATTTTCCCTACGGATGTATATTCTGCTTCAGCAAAGAGGATATATTTATTTCAGTAAAGAGAATTATTTGCGGCGATGAATAGTGAAGTGTGTATGTGCGTTTGTGCGTGTCTTCTTCTTGCTCGTCGACTTATTACCGAGTCGTTTGAGATTATTCGCAGCATGATGCTGTGGTGCGTGGTAATCGCCGAAAAGTGGATCGCGCGATGCGAATCCTCGGCACGGATGGAGCCAGTGGCGAATGCCGCATCGGTCAGACGTCCTCGGGCGCAAGTAGTGAGTGCCGCGGTACAGTCGGCCGTAAGAGCGAGCCCGGAGCGTCGATTCTCCGGGATTTCTCCTGTCCGCAGTGCCGTCGCACAATGCAAAATTTGCCACAATGTATAAATAAATATATTCTGCATTATACAAATTATTTTTGCATACAAATTGCATACGAATATTTTATTTTATTTATTTCAAGGCGGTTTAGTCCAAGTAGATTAAAGTCTGATGTTAATAGAGGCTGAAGGGTTTTAGAGCAATTTATATGCATTTTCACTGGAAATCTATATTACAAATTAAATCTAATCTGTAATTAAAGAGGTTTTAATGTTCTGAGATAATAAAATAATGGAGTTTAGTTATTTCTGTACATTATTTGCACGCATCAAAGTAAAAACCAACATTTAGTAACCAACAAGTAAATATTAAAAGCAAGATTGTTTGTCATCGTATCTAATAAAATATACGATACGTACGCGTATAATATTTAAAATTCTTCAAAATTTCGAAACATTATTGTGAAATAAATATGTTAATTTTTAAGTTAATGTGCAAAGATAGATGTTATATTTGAACTTATAATTAAATGAAATATTGTTATTATTTTAAATCGGGCAATTCATGCATTACGGAGACTACTTCGCGTTACTGACTTCTAACTGTAAGACACTGCTGTATTATACTGATGTAAATTGACGGAAACAGCGGTAAAAGCTGTAAATGTTAAATAATTGCGAAGCAGTGTAATTACGACAAATTAAAGTGAGTACACGTTCAGATTAAATGTAGCGGAACTTATGATGACAAGTAAAGGAAACTGGCAATATACACCGTATGTACTGCGAAGTTTATTGCTGCACGTGTTCAAGTGCCGCATATATAACATCCTTGGTTTTTCCAAAAGCCCTTCTTTATATAAGAGAAACATAGCTGTTGCTGTTATATAGCTGTTTTTATAGCCATAATTAAAAACTAGACGTTGCTACATTATAATGAGCTATGACCTTGATTACTGACAACGAAAATGTCAACTGGAATTGAAAGATTGATTATTCTCAATAGCCTTATTCACTTTCTTATTCATTATGCTTTTATCTTCGCAATTCCATTCTATCGATAAAAACGGGTGGGTAGAGAGAATGCGAAGATGAAGTGAAAATGAAGTAGGGCAAAGGTCATAACTGCCGATCCTTTTCATCACATTATTGGACAGTCCCTTTTTTCGTATCATGCAAACATAAATTAAAAGAACCTCTGAAAGCTACCAAGGCGACTGCAGCTATAAAATTTTCATTATAAATTGTTATATATGTTTTATTAAATTCAGAAATTATCTAGTGATTATTTTTTACTATTTTTTGTTACATTTTAAGATTAATTGTTTGAAAGAAAGAGATATATAGAATGTGATTTCAAAATCCTTATTTTGTGAAGCAAATAAGGCCTTATAGAGCCATAATTATTTTTCGTTAATCATTACATTTTATTTTACTCATATATCATTGAAAACTGCAGTGAAAACTCTTTTTATTAAACAAAAATTCACGCGCGTCGTTGCACGAAGTCACATACATTTTGACGGTCTATTTTAAAACAGAATATAAAACTTCTTCAACAAATAAATACGATACAACGAAACACATATGTATATATAATACATATGTACACTTATCTTTTATAATCTCAAAATTTTGCAATTCTCGCAGTGATAAGGTGCAAGGACCTGAGGCGGGCGTACGAGGGACCGGTGCACGCGTACGTCAAGGCAAGTCTAAAGAACACCAGCGGCGAGGGAATAGTCAAGAGGACCGCGGTTCACCGCGCTACGCCGAATCCGGTGTTCCGCGAGACCCTGATACTCCCCTGCCCGGCGTACAATAGTCACTGTACCGGTCACAGGCCCACGTCTCTGGACATCGCCGTCTGGCACCGGGATCGTCGTGCGAGGTGAGCATGCTCCGCGGGGACGGGAATGAGAAAGAAGGGAGAAGGAGGGAAGGGAAGTAGGGGCTTATAATGTCTAGGGTGCAAGAAGATACTGACGCAGATTAAGTTCGTAAATCTCGCGAGGCCGCGGCGAACGCGCTAAAGTTTCATGCGAATCTGACGTCTCGTTCCCTGGAAATTTATTTATTAACATAAGTGCTTCTCGGTTTTGTTACGGGAAGATTAATTGTGATTTTCTCAAGAGATCCGTATACGTGAGAGGCATGTTTAGTAATTAATTAAAAAGAAATCGATAAAATCGATAAAAAGCTATCGAAAGGGATTGAAGAAGTTAGATGTGACATTGATTTAATTCATCTTTTGAATAATTCGAGAAAATAGATTTCAATTTAGAGAAAATTAAAATAAAATAGATTAGATCTATCATATTTTAGTAGATTAGTTCTTTAATTATTTTTAAATAAATCTTTATAATTCTTTTATGAGATTTTACAATCTTTATTACGTAAAGACAAATATATTTATGCGTAATACTTTAGCGCATAATATGATTTCTTTGGACAAAGAGCGAAGAAATAACAGAGCAAACTCAGCACAAATTACGGAACACGTTTGCGGTTGGAAAACAGGTTGCCGCGATAAGGCTTGAGCTGTTTCACTTGTTCCGTAATAGTCGCAGAGCGAGGGGGAGGATAGAAACGTGGAAATTAACCTCGATCAGCGAATCGGCCGCGATTTAATTCGTCCTGATAAAGCCTCGTAAACGATACATCGTTAACTTACGAGGCTTAACAAGCACGTGATGCCTCGTACCGTATACGAGATAGCGATCTCTCGAGGTACGCCGGGGCGGTACAGCGTGGGAAAATCTCGTGAAATTCGTAAAGCGGGCACGAACCGCACGAGAGCCACGTAGAGTAGCCCGTGGAATTTATGTTAGTGGAGCAACGAATTTATCTGTCTCGCGTATCCTCCTTATATCTATTTTCTGTATTACTAGCATCGCGTCTATATAAATCCGGTTATTTACTTATACCCATCGGCCGATCGTTTATCCATTGTTACGTTTATTTTTACGCGTGTACACGTCGATATGGTGTGCTTCGCACAAGAAAAAAAAAACGCGATTCTCCTCATTCGATGTTCGATCGATGATCGATCCATTTGCTTTCGCCGCCTCGGCTTTGGCTTGTTTATTCTTCGAATTGCCCAATCGAAGTAGTCAACCTAATTTTAAGCTCTTCCGAGAATTTCTCTCACATCGGAAAAACGCCGTCTCGCAACGAAGCTTTGTTTTCGCGAAGGCAATACACTCTCCGAATATGTATATGCTATTTGAAATCATTTTAGCTTGAATTATAATCATAATTGTGTAAACATTTATTTAACAGCAATTGTTTTATAGCCAACACCGCGCTTTCTCGTTCGTTCTGTAGTTGAAATTATTTTCGCACATATCGAGATTTTTCCGCAAGAAAGCTTGTGTTATATAAAACGCATTGAAATTGAAACTTTTTATCTCTCGACAGTTTTGCATTTTATTAAGTAGTTTCGCTTTAATACGAAATTGCTTTAGGTGCGAAATTAGCATATCTTATTTAGCATATTTTTAATATTTCTCACATTACAAATGTAAATTATTGTCGTTAGGGAAAATTTTGTTTATGATCATACATTTGACTTCTTGACTAAGATTTAGATTCGAAAGACTTTCAGCAATGCAGAAAATTACGCAATTCCGAATCGCGTGTCTTCTCGGTCGATGGTCCGTCCGAATGTCTGAACTATTGTAATTTCTGGGAGCATATCCGAGAGGGTTACCCCTTTCGCGGTAGGAGGGGGAATCGATTCCCCCGGATCATGCGCACCACGTCTACCACGTGCATTTCTCACCCCCTTTCACCCTCCTTCTCACACTGTTCGCGTACATACAGTGCGCGAGACATTACGGTCACGCTGTGTATATATACATAGATACATCCCCGCGGATAGACGACACTCGTATGCGGGCCTTCATATATGCATGTACATGTGTCTACACATTCTACACGAACGTGTCCGCGTATTTTGCGGCCTTCCTCCGGACAACGGAAATTTATGCGTGTTTCCCTTTCCGCCTGTTTCAGACGTAGCGAGCTGCTGGGCTGCATGACTCTTCCTCTGCCTCTGTCCCAGGATAAGGTAAATATCACGCGAAACTTGGAGTATATATTTGTTCGATCGAGAGACATCCGCTCTCGATTCGCTTCGAGTGTACATCGTTTATCGTATGCAGTATATCTAGACGTCCACTAAAGTTTCCTGCTATATTAATTTCTCAAAGTGTGTGTCTCCGAAAAGTTTCGCGCTACAAATTATTAAAAAGCTCCCGTTTCCCTGGAGGAGAAGGGTAAGTATATCGAAACATTAAGTATTCACTCGAAAGACTCTCTGCCGATTGAGACGTCTGCTGCTGATTTATTTCAAGTATATCGCACCACCGGATGCGTCTAGACGTCTACTAAACTTTGCTGCTATATTAGTCGAATCCTTGAATATTGTAGTGGTCTGGAAAGTTTTTTTTTTTGCTAAAAATCATTCAAAAGAAAAAGTAAGTATATAAGAAACTCGGAGTAATTATTTAAGATACTCGATTGTGATATTTCTTAGTGTTGGCTACTATATCAATTCTCGAAAATATATAGTACATATAATATATAATTATACAATAATAGGATAATAAAAAATTTGTAAATAGTTAAATTTTGAAAAGTTAATATTTTTCTCGCTCCGTGTTAAATTCGTAATCTAATTTTTTTAACTCGGACATCAGAATATAATGACTGTTGCACAATACCAATGATTTGAAATGTTCTTTCATGTTAAGCGGATTATCGCTTTGAGCACAGGCATTATTTAACACTGGATTACTGAAATGATATCCTAAATAAGTTCACTTTGAAAACGTTCAATTACGTAATACATTGCAGTATTGAAATTTTTATATTTTGATATAATAATAGGAATTATTAATAAATTATCATTACATAACTTGGATTGCAATTATATTTAAAAAAAGAGACCACTACAATAATCAACTTAAATAGATTTTTCGCTAATTCTGAAATCTATTTCTTAATCTGTTCTGTTGATCTGTTGATTTTTTTTTCTTAATCTAAAATCAATTTTTTTAGCAAAAATTTAATAGAACGAGGAGCTTTTAATTCTTAATTATTGTGATTTTTTAATTTCTTTTATCCTAAAATTTCTCATATCTCTCATAATCCTCCAACTTACATTTCCAAATTAAATTAGAGACAGAATAAAAAGTACATTTAACATTAAACGTCCGCATTTTTTAATTAGGAGGATTAAAAGAAAAGAATTTATTTGCAGGAAGCGACATGGCATCCTCTCGAAGCCGGATCCGTCCGAAACACGAGCACCCCTTTCGCGGGTGCACCTCAAGACTGCGTCGTGTCGCCACCGTTATCCAAGGATGGCGAGTCAGATAATAACAACTCAGGGACAGACGATCTGATGTACCTGAGGCATCTGGAGCTAGAACCCGTCGATCCGCTGACAGGCCTGCCCTTGCATCCGGGTTTCACCGCGAAAGGCGGCAGAACACCCTGCACTATCACGAGAAGGCTGATAAGGCAAACCTCGGTCAATCAGGTGCGTTTATAAAAGTTATAAATCATTTAAAACATGAATAGAACAAATTTTGAAACGAAAAATTGTTGAAACGAAAAATCGAATCACACACTTTTCTATATGGAGATCGTAGTACATCTACATATAATGTATAATCAGAAGAAATACGATAAAATTATCCATATTTAATATTTGCCCTATTGGCATGTCTGTCAGTGCTATTTAACTTTGCTGACCGAATGTTTTTTTTTTTAATTTATCTATCAGGTTCCATGGGGATTTTCGTTGTCGTGGGGCAGACCACCGCGAGTGGAGCGCGTGGACCCGGGAAGCCCGGCGGAACGTTCCGGCTTACGGCCAGGTGATCATGTGGTGTTCGTGGAGACGACGAACGTCGTGACGAGACCGCGAGACGAAATTCTGGGCCTCATCCAGGCTGCCACGAATCAGCTAGTGCTGGAGGTGTATCGCAAAGGAGGTGCTCAGTCGTCCGGCGCCCACCACAGGCCTAGCTCGGTGAACGCCACTCTACAGCCCACCTCCGCCGCCGGTTCTAACGTCCAACATTCGGTCACGTTCAACGCCGAGGTCGGTACCGGCGTCCTCGTGTGAACGTTACCCGTGTAGCGGTATTATAATAGTAATACATATTCATCGGTACCTTGATTACGAGGAAACGTCGCATGTGGAATAACGACAGAATTGACGCGTGACGCTACATCTGTCGGTTATTGAATTGGCAAAATGATTTTGTATTTTAAATGTGTCTTGATATTTTTCTAACAAAGAATTTGAAGTTTAATTCCTGAGAAGATTGTTAATTTTAATTGCTTCCAATTTAAATATGTTTATTAAACGAGAGATGTATGTTGAAATTAGTTAAAATATCTATATAGACGAAAAGAGAAAAAAAATCGCTAGATCCGAAATAGTCGTACAAAATCACTTTGATTGCTATCGTTATCACAAGTGATATCTGACGACTCAAGATACCGACAAATATAGTTAGCACAATATAAAGAGTATCGCTACTAGTGCCACTAAAATTTACATTCGCCATTGAAGCTTAATTACGTGGATCATAAATTGATCAAAGATTGAAAGTGTGTTAAAGAAGCTCCCATTCTAACAAAATAATCGATCGATCGAGCAGAGAAATGCGTCGAACACGTTTAATTGCAACATGAAAAGACAATATCGTAGGAGAGATATGTAACTTTTTAGTTAGTCTCATCATCGTAAAAAAAAAATATATATATTTTTTTAATTGCTATCAGTAGGCTGAATTGCGTCGTCTATAAGTGTTAATGCTTACTTTATTAGAAATTATAAACTTGCAGACATATCTGATAAAAACTTTTCTATCATGAGTATCGTTGCAGTAAGTCTTATTTTAAACAATCAGGAAGATGTGTGATAATTGACACGGCTCGAACGATACGACACTGCAAGATCTAATTCTGCAAACTCGCTTTTACGATTGCTATTAATACTCTGGAGATATCGCGGTATATATTTAGTAAATATACAGTCAACCGCTTTGTGAAATTTTGCATCGTCTGTCTGCTGTTGTTTTTCGGACACACTTGTAAACCAAAAACGTTGCAAAATCTAAATTAGAATGATATTAGGATTCGTCGAAAAATTTTATATTTTTATGAGGAACTTATCATACTTAGAGCGGGAATATGCGAATTTATTAGACGCGTCATCAGCGTGCGTTATTAAGAGCTTATTTTTTTTTTTTTCGTTTTCGTCACAAGAAGAGTGCGAAGAGCGTCACACACCTGTATATTGTTTTTTTTTCTTTCTCTTTCTTTGTACTTTACTTGTAGCGGAGCGTGTAGTGTATAGCGCGCGCGTCTCTCATGTGAGGGATGCCGTTTAAGTTATATTAATGCGGTTATGTTTTGTACCTTGATCAGGTTGCTCTTTTTTGTTGCCAACAAGTTTTGTTTCCAACCATGCGTTCTGTTTATTTATTGTATCCCCTGTCACCCTCACATCCCAAGATTTTAAATTGTCACATGTTCTTGTCTTCTTATAAGTTCGATCACCGAATTTTGATTTAATTATCAGTCATTATAGAAATGAATTTCCTATTAATTGTGCAGCAAAGTATTTCTTGCCTCGTTATCGATAGGAAGAAGTTCAACTCTGTTATTTCACGTCAAATTACAGGCCAAAATTAAGAATCAGATATTGTTCCAAATTATTTCAAATACTTTAAAAACATTCATATCGAAATAATTTAAAAATATTCAATATCAAAAATTATTCTTCTCTGCATACTTAATTATTGCCTGTCTTGTACAACACAGATCACTAATCAAAGAATCTCACTGTATTATATTACACAATTCTAAATAAGCGCTAATCTATCTATACATAAATATGAATTACGAGTCCTCGTCTTACAATGACAAAATGCGAAAATTCCCGATATATACAATTCAAGATAAGCATCTATTTCGATTTTCTGTGAAAAGTCGTCCAAAATCTTCTCGCGACTCGTTCAAACAGGTCTTTCCAAGTCTGGCACCTGACGCGCCACCCGAGGAGGAATTAACTGTACGCGAGACCAGATACTGGGGCGTCCTGAAGAGCGGCCACACGCGCTTCATGGTCCCGCTGTGCGAGCGACGCGACGTCTTGTCGGCGACGGACTATCTGATCCTCTTCCAAAACTTGGACGACCTGCTCAAACTGTCCGAGGAGATCAGGGACGAGGGCGGCGGGGTCGACAGCTATCTCTGTAGAGTTCCTAAAATCACAGCTGCCTACCGAAGATACCTCAGTGGCCTACAACGTGCCTGCTGCCTGCTGGTCGCTCTCAGACGGAACACGGCCTTCGCCAAGCTGGTCTGCGAGCCCGCCGTGCCGCAAAAACGGCGCCCTGACCTCACCGGGGTGTTGCTTCTACCTTTAGAACACTACAGGTTGGCACGCTAATTGATCGTGTTCTCTTCACAAAGAGATCTCATTCGTTTATCAATTATTTTCATTTGATAAAAACTACATCTTGGAAACAAAGCTTGATTAAGTTAAGGGAGATTGATAATTAGACTGTGATATACATTTTTTTATGAAGCAAGTATGAAAAAGATATCAAGAAATTAATTTATTCAATCACAATATACTACTTTTGTTTTATTTTATTTAAAGCTTCCTCGTGTCTTCAGTATTGTTATAATTATGTTTCATGAAAAAACGACTAATCGATTTTATGAATTGTGGTCTAGATTTGTAATCTGATTATTATGTTAAGAATTTTTCGTAATATTATTTTTTTTAATAACTCTCGATTTTTAAGCGATTGCCTTTGCAATAAAGATATCTTTATTTAATGATAAATATTACTGGAGGATTATTGGTTTATAAAAATCGACAATATTTTAATACTGCATTTTTTTAGTATATTAATAGGTACTGCGGTGTGCTGTTTAAAATCTTAAACTTAAATAGTCTCGGTTAGAATCTTGAAAAGTGCAAAATTACGAGAAGTTTTTAATGTAAATTTAAAACAATTTCTCTCGGCGCTTGTAGTTGTATCGAACAAGCGACAACCGTACCGTTTCCGTAGTAAATACATGCTTGCAGAGAGATGACGAGATTGTTGGGCCAAGCATCTCCGCGAAATTGCCAACAAACAAGGGATTTGGCCCAAGGCTATAGAGAAGCTACGGCTAATGCGGGTGTCATGGAACCGCCACGGGACACCGGAAGGCCTCTGCTAAGTTTACAGGAAGTAGAATCTCGATTGGTGTTCGCGAGATGTAAGCCGTTTACCTTAGCAATGCCAGGAAGACGATGGTAAGTTTTATAATTTATAATATATATATTTTTTTATTTCTTAAAAATTTCGCGTGAACAATATTTTATGTATATATACACACACACATGACTTTAATTTAAATAACTTTTAAATATATGCTGTTTGCATGTCAGTAAAAAATAAAAATTCACTTTTAAATTTTGATAGATATCGACTTGTCGATTTACTACTTATTTATTTTGTCTTTGAAATTCTACGAAATTAAATCGGAAATTAATCAATTTTGCTGAGGTAATAAATGATAATAAATGATGAGGTATTTTGCGATCACTTTTAACTGCACAAAGAGGGTCAGCGATTATTAAAAATTCGAATCTATTTTTTTGAGGCTTTTCGGCGGAGCTCTCGCTAAGGTTGAGGGTCGAGCGCGTCTGCAACCGTCCTGGGCATTACTACTGACTGATCTTCTAGTATTCGCGCGGGTATCGCGAGACCGCGTGCTTTTCGTCACTGAAGAACCCCTGCGACTGTCCAGCATCGCCGAGGCGTGCTTCACCGTGCGAAAGAGACCGACGGAGTTTCGGCTGCAGGTCGCCGTACACCCGAACGGCAGCGTGGACGATCACGCCGAGACGATAAACAGCGGCGGTTGCAGCCCACACAGTCGACTCCGAAGACGCGTTCTCATCCTTCGCGCGCCCACCGCGGAGCTCAAGGCCGTCTGGCACAATCTTCTTCAACGGCAAATGTGAGTGGTGGACTCGGCGCGAAAGCACGCGTGTGCGCCACGCGGAATATTTTTTTGTCGGGAGTCGAGGTGTAAGCGGAGAGCCGCGTGAATGGACCACGCAAAATTCATGAGCACCAATTTTCATTGCGTTTTAGCATCTATGTGAATACAGGCTGTGGGTTGAGCTCATCGGATCAGGGCAGCCCCGAAGAGAGTCCGGTTCCCGGCAACAATTTCGCCGCGACTAAAGAGTCCACGGAATGTTCGCAGGTCAGTGAAAAGTGATGACAACGACGATATCACTTGAAGCTATCTTGATATACCATATATTTAAAAAAAAAATGTGTTTAATAATTTAAAAAAGAAAAATTGATTTTAATCATTTTAATTTCAAGCGTCTATTTCTTCGAAATTTGATTTCAAAATCGATGTTTCAATGTAACAGATCGCAAGAGAACCTCGGCAATCTAACGAAGACGAGAAGGAATTGCAGTCCGGCGAGAGCCTGGAGTCGATCCTGAAGAACTCGCGGGAGAACAATCACCTGGCGCAATGGGTGCGCAATTCGCATCAGATCCCTCCACCGGACCACGAGGGCTCCTTCGAGGAATGGACAGCCGAGGAACTGGCGGCCAGAACCCCCCGAGAGAGCAATAGCCGGTCGACCAGCCAGGACACCGCGACGGAGGAAATCACCACGGCGAATTCCGACGTGGAGCAACAGAGCACCACGTCGAGCGCAAGTCTAAGTACTGTGAAGTCGAACAGCATGACGCGGAAGAACGGTAGTCACATGGCCACGAAGGAGAACTCCATCAGCATCTGCCGAAGATGTCACAGGTAATTTTGTGCAACCGAATATTCATTAAATACTCAATTTTTTTAAGTCTTTTTGGGAACTCTCCAAAAAATTCTCAATTTTTATCTCTTCTATCTATATCTTATTGTAAATACAAGCCGAAAATATTTTTTGAGTGACAAAATGTAGAATCTAAATATCGCTGCATTAATTTTGTTAAGCGACTGTAACGGCAGACTGTAATCGTTCATTACAGATCGGGTTGTCCTACGCCGCCGTTGCAAAGGGATCCATTTTCTCCATTGCCACCAAAGATTTCGGTTCTTCCACCGACCCCCGATTTCTGTACAAGGCACAGATTGCGAAATGGACTGCACGATAGTCCAGGACGTAACAGTCCTAGTTACACGCCCGCAGATGGTAACACCGAGGACGGCAGCGAGGACGACCTTGATTGTGATGGCGAACCTCCTTATAGGTATGATTAAATTATAATTAATTTGTGTATGTATTTATCAAATTAATATAATTATCACATCGAAACATCGATATCAAGATTTGCTTTTTCAGCTGTTGAAAATAAGAGAAACAAAATAAAAACCAAGTTTATCCAACTTGTTTGATCCTAACATTTACAACATTTACAACAATCAACATTTAAATTCAATGAAACCTATCGTGGATCGATTATAATTACTCGATTAATGATTATCTAAATTCCTAAAATTTATATGAAATTATCGCGAGACGCCACACTTTCACTGCCCTTCAACAAGCTTCAAAAGCGACTTTTCGATCTCCCACGCCCGTAACGATCATTCTCGCGTAGAGCTTTGAGACGGTTTGGTACGATGAGCAGCCTGGATCAAGATGACGAGCTGGATGAACAAGGGGACGACGACAATCGGGACACGGAGTCGCCACCGTCCGGTTTGAGAGCGTGGACTGCCCGAGCGAGCAGCTACGTCGTCAGCAAGATGGTTTTGCTGGAGCAGCTCAGCGAAGGTGTCGGCGGTTACCTTCTTCAACCGCCGGTACCCCCGGAGCGAACCGAATTCTCGTTGGATCCAAATGACGAGGAAGGTACTACGTCCGGGGCGACTTCTGGCGACGATATATGGGGCACGCCAACCTCCGGCGGACCAGACGATGAGAGCTTCACCGCCAATTCGGTAATAATGTTTGTGACTTATACAATACACGATATTAATATCCAAAAGCTTAGAAGCACTGTGAACTAAGTCCCATTGTTGTGAAGAGTTTTATCGCGTATTAAGTGATCACGATTGATAAATTTATATCCAAACATGTTAACATATAAATTTATAAAATGGAGATGTATTATAAAACTGTATAAAAATGAGTCATATCCGAAGTTCTAATTTTTAAAATAAATCTATTAAATTCTATTAATCTATTAAATAAAATTCTTCGATTTACATAGAGAGAAGAAATCAGGCTTAATTTTTAAGATAATTTAGTGCAATATAATTTATAAATATTTCTAAGCTAAATTTTGAGCTAAATACTTCGTGGCTTTCAATAAAAATTCAATAAAAACCTGTTACAGTATGCATTATAAATTATAGTCTATATTGCATACAAATAATGATCGCTTGATACGTATGACTTTTCATATAAGCTTGCTTGAAAATAATATCTAATACTGGAGCATTAATTCATTTAAATTGCACTCTGTATTAAACGCAAAAAATTGCAATCGCATTTATTTTGGAAACAATTTGTAACGAAGTTTAATGTATAATACATGATAATTCAATAAAATTTACAACACTATTGTTTTGAATTACAGGTCGTAATTTTTAATGCCCAAATTTTTCGCTAAATGCGACTGTCTCATTTTGTGAATCTAGCCCCATTAAAAAAAAGTTTGACCATATGCCACAATTAAGTGCTAATTTATTGCTCTTACCCATTCGCAGGAAATTAATATCAAAAGTGGAAGTGTTGACTTTACGTTACGCTAACATCTGCACTTCCAAATAATTGTACTTTATGTACGTATATACATGCACTAGCACTGCTGTTCTCTTAATGGCATTTTAACTTAAACAAAGAGCAATAAATTAATAATAACCGCCATTTTTGATATTAAATTCTTGCAAATGGATAGGAACAATAAATTCGCAACTAGAGCAATAAATTATCACTTAATTATGGCATATAGTCAAACTTTTTTTTTCGTGGTGGAGATTCCAGGTTCACAGAGCTGACTGTCTCACTTGAGGTAGATAAAACCGCAGATAGCCGCACCTAGCACTGAATATGGGATACGAAACACGGATATTGTACCTAAATCAGGGGCTTTTTTTTATCCTTGGTATATTAGGCGTATGTGAACGCGGGAATGCAGCGATAACAAGAAGATAGAAATAAGCTTCGCACGCTTGCCTGCATGACGACGCTTGCCTTCTGTTTTTCTTTTTGCAAAGAATCACTAGCCCGAGCTGTGCCTGACTTCCCTAGCCGCCGCCGAACGGCTGCAGCAGCAGCGGTGGCGCCGGTGCCATCGGTGAGGACAATTACGGCCTAAATCTGTCGACGGAGGACGACGTCGACCAGGAGTCGGAGAGCGAGGACTGCTCGTTACCGGAGCTGAGCATGGACCAGTTGCTGGGCAGCAGCGGCAGCCTGGGCTCGCTGCGCTGCTTCCTGGGCAGGAGACGGCTGGAGCCGCTGCCGGAGGAGGAGGACTCGCCCGGCAGCGGCAAGCACCAGGTCGGATGGTGGTGACAGCGGTTTCAGACGGCGTCCAAGTCGAGCGTCGGTGCGAACGTGGACGAGCGTGACCGCGTCTTCGCCAAGCTGAACCAGGAGGACGAGGAGTTCCGCCGGAAGATCGTCGATTTGCACCGCAAGCTGTCGGACGTGGACGCGGACGCGGGTTTCGCGACGCCGGGTACGGCCGGTTCGCCCGATTCCAGGAGTTTCAAGGAGGCCGAACGTCTCAGGGAGCTGGAGGCCGTCGCGAGACGAGCGGAGGAGACCAATTCCCGTAACGCCGAGGAGAGGCGGGAAGCAATGCGGAGGGAAGACTCCGCCGAGACGAGCGACAGGAGAAGGAACAGGAGTAGAAGACAGGCCGAGCAGCTGAGGAGATCGAGGAGATTCGAGGAGGAGTTCGACGATCAGAGCGGGAGAGCGAGTCCGTCCAGCACCAGCGAGACAAATTTTTTGAATAGACTGAGGCTGAAGAGGCGGAGCATGAAGCTATTGAGTTTCCTGAGCGGAAAAGCAGCGGACAGGTCGCAGGAGGAGAGAGCGGCGCGGCTGCTGAGGATGTACATGCCGGAGAAGAGTGGCACCAGGTCGACGCAGAACACAATCTCGATTCATCACACGTCGAGGGACAGACGCTTTTGGAAGCTGCGCAATCGGAGACGAACCAGTTCCGCGTGAAAAACTCAGAAGTCGCCGTGGGTGATGCTTTACTCGTGGGTCACGCTCGTTGCTGTCAAGCGTATGAAAGCGATCGTGTCGCTCTAATGCGAGAAAAAAAAGTGACTCTCATGGGTATCGTATTTTGCAATGAGATTGTTACGCGATAACTATTTATCGTCAAAATTGCAAATAAAACATTTAACAGTAGTCTTGATACAAAGAGTTGAATTCACGTAAAATCGCGTGTTAGTTTAAAAAAAAAAACGTTAATATATTAAAATATATTAGTAATATTAATACTGGGGGAAGCTATACATATAATGATATAATGATTACTGTGATAGCATAGAAGACGATTAGAATTGATTACAAATACATTTGGAGATGACACCGTGAGAGAACTAATAATAAAATTTGACGCACGAGTAAACCGTCGCTCAGAAAATCGTACATCAAAAAGTAAAGAAATCGAAGAGAAAAAAACGGAGAATCGAAAGGGAACGGAAATCAATTGTCTCTCCGTTTACTAATAGGACTTCCAAAAAAAAAAAAACATTCGCGTTAACCGAGACTTTTTGAATTCCGCTCGAGCATGTGTACGAGACCGAAGTTGTTTTCATAGAAATGATAGTAGTGAATACGAATAGCTAACATTAGGTTTTAACTGCAGTTCCAGTCTAGTTCACTTCTTAGTAGGGAATAAAAGTCGCAGTTGGTCTTTTGGTCGGTGGCGACGGAAAAGCAACTCCGGGATTAGTCCAGTCGGTCGAGTACAAGTTTCAGAATCGTGCTATATTAGTAACGCTTGCTAAATCTCGCAGGGACAAGGACGTCCCTCTGGGCAAAACGGCCTAGCGGGATCGTTTCCCGATCGTTCGGAGCTGCTGATCGGCAGAGAGATCGTTGGAAGTTTCGGCGAGTTTCGCTCGCGAAGTGTAGACTTCTTCTGAATTTCGACTCTTTTTTGGAAACACTGTATCTAAGTAGGTCCGCACGACTGATCCAAAGCGGCATTTATCTTCCACTTATTAAACTAGGTGTCCCGCAACAAGCTGCTGATATCTTACGCGAGATTGAGGCTATTTTACGTCAAGGAGAATATAAATATTATAAATAAATACGAATCACTCTGAAGAAGGGGAGGGGACGGCTGTAATATGATAATAATGTTAAATTTAATTTAATAAATTAAAGTAACATATTAAATCTAATTCAAGTTTACACGTTATTATTACACTACAGCCGTTATTATTATGCAATAACGATCTAATGATGTGTCCTAAATTTAATCCTAATTTAATTCAACGTAAGATTATATAATATATTGCCAATCGGAATCTAATATTTGTATTTGAACTTTTTGACTGAAAGTAAATCGAACAACCCACGATTGGCGTTCGAGATAATGACGAGATAATGAAATCTTATTGCAGGGCATCTTATAGATCTTGCTCCCGTCTGCGAAGGGTCCCAAATTCATTGGATGTGCAGTCAGATTTTAAAAATCTACTCTCATTGATCACATCTACTTTAAGGAGAATTTATCGCGAAGAGACGTCATCTTAATTTAATTTTCAGCACGAAATATATTTCACGAATTAAGTTTTGGGATAAATTTAATAAAATTTAAGATTGAAATGAAATTATAAAAAATTTTATGCAACCTGGAAATGTGGGACGCTTTAAACGGACTAATAATTAAATAAAACATTAAAATTTTAACAATTATTGTTAGTAGGTTGTAAACCGGTCAATTGACCGCATATGCAAAATATAAATAAAACTATATTATTTGTTCAACCGTTTCCTTCGTGTCTCTTGAAGCGCAAAATTACTGTCTTTCACGAGCATTATTTTTATATAATATTTTTCATACGCACGGACTGTTTCTGATTGACCGTGAATTGCTTCTTACTATACAGGGTATTTCGAAAGTCTTTTCTCAGGAAGGAAGTTTCAACCGGGATTATCAAGGATTATTTTAAGGACTCCTTTATCGTTACAAACTTATGTCAATAGCTTACTATTTATTTTTATTATCAAATTTAGTATCTACACAATATGTCCTTGTAACCACTTAAGCCTCAGTTTGTCTTGTATAATATCGCGATTAAGCTTTTTCGGATCGTTTACAAATCTTTCCACGGCTTCTTCGCGAGCAGGGTCTACTTTCGGTATAACATAAAACGTGCCATTCTCGTGTAAATATGTGCCATTTAGATCGTCCGTGGTTGGCAATTGGTCGGGTAACTTTATGGGAACGATCTTTACCAGATGCTTCACCTTCCAGAGCATGGCACATATCTCTGGCGTGTTTTTTACGATCACTGGAGCATTTGCGTATTTCTGTAAAACGATTAAGCGAATAAAGAATTTGTCAAACACTATCCTACATTCCTACGCTTTACGCCTCTACAACTCCGGCTACCTTATTTTTGAAACCTAAGTTTACGAGCACCTCTTTGTCCCACCAAGGATTACCCGCAAAAGGCTTTACCCGTGTCACTAATAACAGTTTACTCGGCTGGAATGGCGGATCAACATGATCTGGACGTCTATAAACATTTTGAGTATCCAAATCAAGAATAGTAATTGTGATTCACTAATCTGCGAGTCATTATAATTCTTTCGGAATTCAAAATACATTTTGTTCAATATGTAATAATAGATCTGTTCTTTGTCGCTACATTGGACTGTACTAAAATTTTCTTTCTCGCTTTCATTAAACTTTAAACATAAAAAAATCAAATATATATCAAATCTAAAATAAAATATCAAATAGATATATATATATATATATA